TCTGTCCGGGACCCTCTATTGTGATCCCTGTCAGAGCAGTCAGTGGTGGTAGCTGGGCACCATCTAGTTGTACTGGACTCAGTCTGGTGGAGGCCATGGTAGTTGTGGTCCATTAGTCCTTTGGACTAATCTTTCCCTTGTGTCTTTAGTTTTCTTCATTCTCTCTTGCTCTTGAAGGAGACCAGTGAAGTATCTTAGATGGTTGCTCACAGACTTTTAAGACCCCAGACATTACTCGCCAAAGTAGAATGTAGAACATTTTCTTTATAAACTATGTTATGCCAGTTGAGCTAGATACTCCCCGAGACCACGGTCCGCACAGCCCTCTGCCCATCAGTTCAGTCCCTCAGGGAGTTTGGATGTGTCTATGGAGCTTCCATGACCTTGCCTTGTACAAGTTGTGCTGGTTTCCCCAGTATTGTGTACTGAATAAGACAAGTATTTTAAGATAGAAGAATGAATAATATAAAACCGAGTTTTTTGGAAACATCAGAAATACACTGCATAGCAGTGTCTGAAGCATGAAGTATGGAATCCTGGAAACCAGCTTGGGGGAGAAAGTTGAAAAGGGCTCTGCACTCACCCCAAAGCTGCCCACGGCTCTCTCCCAGCCAGCCTGGTGGCCTCAGGGCGGCGCTGAGAGCACAGCTGCCTGAGCTCACTGGCTTCCCACCAGGGCCTTCTCTTCTCTGGGCAGCTGAAGTGGTCACAGCATCCCATGCCATCTAAGCACAAAGGCCTTTTCTTCTTTTCTTGATTCTATATTCTAATATTCCCCACTTCTGAAATTCTTTCCTTGCTGCTTCCTTGAGCTTGTCCTGTTTGACAGCCCTCGGGCTGGAAGACAGGAAACAATGGTTAGGGTTCCCTTGTTGAAGGATAGAGCCAAGTGGAAACGTATTTATTTATTTATTTATTTTGCTGGGAAAAACTGTAAGACATTAGAGGCTCTTTACACAGACTTCAGTATTTAAACGATTGCCAAAGCTGATCTGATATCCTCTGTATTCGATTATCTCTAAACACTAGTTCTACTTATAAATGAAACATTACATTTTTATGATATTAAATATTTATTTCTTTATATATACAAAAATATTTTACCAGGATATATGTAATTTCACATATTGAATATTTCGATATTTTTTGGACAACATGGAAGGATGTGAAAAAAGGATTTACAGGGACAGTTTCTTAAAAAGTCAATACTTAATTGCACTGCAGGAATATTTTATTTATACAAGGACAGCAGTAATGATTCTTTTATACAGGAACCATTAATACAATAACTTGGAAAGTAGTAGCAATTAACTTCAAATTTTTAAATTTTTTTATTAGAAACTTATTGTAGCAGCTTGTTCAGGTTTGATTTTTAGATTGCTAACGAGCACTTTGCCCTCCATTAAGAAAAAATAAAGGTTTTCGTCTACAGTTACTTTCGACTAGAGATTAGAAGAGCATGCATTTGTGTTCAGTGTCAAGATATACCAAAACAAAAAGTGGGGGGGGGGGTTCCTAAAGCAAGGTTTTCACATCAAATATCATAGGCTCTCACAGAGCTCCATAGAACATATAAAAAATTACACTTGTTGCTGAACTCTGATGCTCATTCTTCTTCAGCAGAATCCATGTGTTACTGAAGAAACAGGTAAGTCAGCAGTTCTTTTTAAAAGAGGACACACACCCACAAGAATTGATCCTGTATTGTGAGTACAGATGTAGATGAGCGATGCCTCAAATCTGGTTCTACATGAAGGGACTGGACTAAAGCATTCCTCATTCAGACTGTTTACCAGAACAAGCTTTCCATCTTCAAAGCAATTTTATACTACTGCCCACCTCTCCTATTTAAGCATAAGATGAAAACCATACATTTTAACTGGTAATAGCTTCTGGTTTAATGTTGGTAATTTACAGCTGATGAGTTTTTTAATGCTATGCTCTTTTTTCCCTCTTGAAGTTCATAAGGTTTGTTCCAAGCTCCCAGGGAGCCTTGACTGATTTAAGGAAAGCCAAATTTCAGGTGCAGTCCCTGGGTGATGCAAAAGGTTAAGCACTCAACTACTATCTGAAAGGTTGGCAGTTCGAACCCCCCCAGAGGTGCCTTGGAAGAGAGGCCCGACAATCTGCTTCTGAAAGGCCACAGCCTTGAAAACCATATGGGGTCACCATGAGCCTGAATAGACTTAACGGCAACTAACAACAAATTTCAGGTAAGACTTGTTATATGTTGCTGTTATGGATTGAATTGTGCCCCCCAAAATGTGTGTCGTTTAAATCCTAACCCCTATACCTGTGGTTATAATCCCATTTGGGAATGGTTTTTTATTATGTTCATGTGACAGTATTAGTGTAGGGTGTGTCTTGAATCAATCTCTTTTGAGATATAAAAGGAGATTAAACAAGAAAACAAGCAGACAAATGCCACATCATGTAAAGATCACCGAGGAGCCAAGGAACAGAAGCTCAAGAGTCAAGGACTTTCCCCAGAGCCGACAGAGAGAGACAGCATTCCCTTAGCTGGCACCTTGAATATGGGCATCTAGCCTCCTAAACTCTGAGACAACTCATTTTGGCACAACACAAAATGAGAAGAAACAGCTGCAAACATCCATTAATAACTGGAGCATGGAATGTATGAAGTATGAATCAAGGAAAATTGGAAGTTGTCAAAAATGAAATAGAATGCTTAGTGAGCTGAAATGGACTGGTATTGGCCATTTTTAATGAGAAAATCGTATGGTCTACTATACCAGGAATGACAAGTTGAAGAGAAATGGTGTCACATTAATTGTCAAAAGAACATTTCAAAATATATCCTGAAATACAGTGCTGTCAATGATAGCATAATATCCATAAACCTACAAGGAAGACCAGTTAATATGACTATTACTTAAATTTACACACCAACCACTAATGCCAAAGATGAAGAAACTGAAGATTTTTACCAACTTCTGCAGTCTGAAATTGATCAAACATGCAATCAAGATGCATTGATAATTACCGGTGACTGGAATGCGAAAGCTGGAAAAAAAGAAGGACCATAGTTGGAAAATACAGTCTTGGTGATAGAAATGGTGTGGTGACTATACATGTGGCCCCTGCTAGATGGAATACACAGGAATCAATCAACTACATCTGTGGAAAGATACGGTGGAGGAGCTCAATATCAGCAGTCAGAAGAAGGCCAGGGGCCGACTGTGGAAGGGACCATCCACTGCTTATCTGCAAGTTCAAGTTGAAGGTGAAGAAAATTAAAACAAGTCCACGAGAGCCAAAGTACAACCTTGAGTATATCCCATCTGAATTTAGAGATAATCTCAAATATAGATTTGATGCATTGAACACGAATGACTGAAGACCAGACGAGTTGTGGAATGACATCAAGGATATCCTACATGAAGAAAGCAAGAGGTCACTAAAAAGACAAGAGAGAAGGAAAAGACCAAAGTGGATATCAGAAGAGACTCTGAAACTTGCCCTTGAACGTAGAGTAGCTAAGCAAACAGAAGAAATGATGAAGTGAAAGAGCTGAACAGAAGATTTCAAAGGGTGGCTCGAAAAGACAAAGTAAAGTATAATGAAATGTGCAAAGACCTAGAGTTAGAAAACTAAAAGGGAAGAACACGTTCAGCATTTCTCAAGCTGAAAGAACTGAAGAACAAGTTCATCTCAAATTGCAATACTGAAGGATTCTATGGACAAAATATTGAATGACACAGAAATCATCAAAAGAAGATGGAAGGAATAAACAAAGTCACTGTACCAAAAAGAATTGGTTGACATTCAACCATTTCAGGAGGTAGCATATGATCAAGACCCAATGGTATTGAAGGAAGAAGTCCAAGCTGCACTGAAGACATTGGCAAAAAACAAAACTCTAGGAACTGACAGAACACCAATTGAGATATTTCAACAAACAGTTGCAATGCTGGAAGCGTTCACTCGTCTATGCAAAGAAATTTGGAAGACAGCTGCCTGGCCAACCAACTGGAAGAGATCCATATTTATGCCCATTCTAAAGAAAGGTGATCCAACAGAATGTGGAAATAATCAAAGAATATCATTAATATCACAGGCAAGTAAAACTTTGCTGAAGATAATTCAAAAACAGTTGCAGCAGTACATCGACAGGGAACTGACAAATTCAAGCCGGATTCAGAAGAGGGCATGAAAGGAGGGATATCATTGCTGATGTCAAATGGATCTTGGCTGAAAGCAGAGAATACCAGAAAGATGTTTATCTGTATCTTATTGACTATTCAGAAGCATTCATCTGTGTGAATCATTAACAAATTATGGATAACATTGTGAAGAACGGGAATCCCAGAACACTTAATTGGGCTCATGGGGAACCTGTACATAGGCCGAGGCAATGGTTCAAACAGAACAAAAGGATACTGTGTGGTTTAAAATCAGGAAAGGTGTGCATCAGGGCTGTATCCTTTCACTGTACTTATTCAATCTGTATGCTGATAAAATAATCCAAGAAGCTAGATTATATGAATAACACGCTATCAGGATTGGAGGAAGACTCATTAATAACCTGCAATATGCACGACACAACCTTGCTTGCTGAAAGTGAAGAGGACTTGAAGCACTGATGAAGATCAAAGACTATAGCCTTCAGTATGGATTACACCTCAACATAAAGAAAACAAAAGTCCTCACAACTGGACCAATAAGCAACATAATGATAAATGGAGAAAATATTGAAGTTGTCAAAGGTTTTCATTTTACTTGGACCAACAACCAATGGCCACGAAAGCAGCAGTCAAGAATTCAAATGACGTATATCGCATTGGGCAAATCTGCTGCAAAAGATCTCTTTCAAGTGTTGAAAAGCAAAGATGTCACCTTGAGGACTAAAGTGTGCCTGACCCAAGCCATGCTATTTTCAGTAGCTTCACATGTATGCGAAAGCTAGACAACAAATAAGGAGAATGGAAGAAGAGCTGATGCCTCTGAATTATGGTGTTGGGAAAGAATATAGAATATACCATGGACTGCCAGAAGAACAAACAAATCTGCCTTGAAACTACAGCCAGAGTGCTCCTTAGAAGAAGTATGGCAAGAGTTCATCTCATGTACTTTGGACATATTATCAGGAGGAACCAGTCCCTGGAGAAGGACATCATGCTTGGTAAAGTGAAGGACAGAGAAAAAGGAAGACCCTTAACAAGATGGATTGACACAGTGGCTGTAACAATGGACTCAAACATATGAGAATGGCGCAGGACCTGGTAGTGTTTCATTCTGTTGTACGTAGGGTTGCTATGAGTTGTAACAGACTTGACGGCACCTAACAACATCAACAACAAACTGTGAGAAAATAAATTTCTGTTTGTTAAAGCCACCCACTTGTGGTGTTTGTGTTATAGCAGCACTAGATAACTAAGACACAAACCCTGGCTTGCTATTAGCTAAAGTGCAAAGAAAGACCTCTTATTTCCAACTTTTAAAATAAGACCTTTTGGCTTCTACTCTGTGGTAGCAAAAACAAATAAAAAAGCAAACCAAAAAATTCCTTATTCTGTGGTTTTACAAAGACAGTTGTTTTACAAGCACTGAGTCATTTAATCTTCCAAATTATAAGTTGCATTAATGTTAACTGTAGATGCAGTCATTCAGTTTGGGTTGGAGATTAGAAAACAGCAAAAGTTTGCAGGAAGAAAGCTGTTACCTCTGACAGACTTCTGGGTGTGGAGGTAAGTCATATTCCTCATTGGCTTTTGCATTACCAGCTAATGACTGAGGAGCTATTAGAAAGTAATAACTGGGCTTTGGTGTCTACTAAAAGTCTGTGAATGTTTTTCCCTATAAAAAGACAGATGCCTTTTAAACTTAACACTGTGGGTTAAACAATAGGTTTGCAGTGGTAAGTTTCAGGCATCAGAATAAGGTAGGGCAGCTTCAGGAAGCACAGATTAGTCTCTTCTGATGTAAAACAGTATTGGGTTGCTTACTTTGATTTGTGAGTGGTCTAGCAGCAAGGATTTGCTAAGGATTTGGAGCTAGAAAAATCTAGCAATTGAAAGCTAAAATGGACCTCCTGACTAGAAGCACTAAGAGAGCAGAAGAGACCCTCTTCCACGCTGAACTACATCTTTGGAGCTGTTCTGAAACTGAAGGTGGGGTCCCTGATGGTGTTCATCACTCACCACATTACCTCAGAAAGAGATACACTTTACAAGAACTAAAAGATAAGCAACCTCAATATAAGCAGAGACACAGAATAAAATGATAAAGTAAGTAGAGGAATAGGTAAACTAGTTGCCATTGAGTTGATTCCAACTCATGGTGACCAGGGACATCGAAATTTTATCAAAGATCACATGGTCAGGAGTCAGAATTAGGATCTTAGGTACGAAGTACACATCTCTATTTTTATCACAAGAGGAAACATTTTAAGAAAGTACTTAAGTACTTTTAGGAAAGTATTGCAGTGCAATGCAGAGGTGGTGCAAACCACGCTTTCTAGCCTCTTACCTTAGAAATGTGATGTCATCATTCCTTCAATTTTTAGTGTACTAGGGACTCATTTTTTGATTCTGTGCATTCTTCAGCAATCACTCCAGGTACACAGAAGGTCACACAATGAGTAATGGGAAATTTGAAAACGAATAAAACTTGAAAAAAGTAGGAAAATGCAATTTAAAAATAACCTTACCTTAAAAAATCATAGAATTGTCACCTTCCTCAACTGATTTGATGCTGTTATTAGTTGAACTGATTCACAAAAGTTTGTGAATAATCTTACCCCATTATTTAAAATACTTTCAAGAATTCCAAATACATGTTTTATAAGAATTCTCCAAATTCCTTGGAACAAGAGGAGGGCAGGTATCATAATTTCTGAACCTAAACCATATTACAGATTCATTCGGAAGGTTCAAAATAAGTGTTTCCCAAGAGGATTCATCCCAATACTCTGTCCTTTTTTCCTTAAGGAAATTAAGTTATAATAATGAATGATAATTTTATGAGTTTAATTCCTCATATATTTTTCAGAAAGGTTAGTCTCCACCTCAAGGTAGAACCAGAGCTTTTTAAAACAATAGTTTCAGAATATCTAGGAATTTGAGTAATTAAAATTTTAGAACACTAGTTAGAATAACATGGGTGAATATATTCTGTTTTATTATGCATGTATTTTGGGAGAATTTTACATATTATATACATACCTGTATATATTATATATATGAATCAAACATTAAAAAAAAATGACCTGTTATCTATCTACATAAAATTCCAGGATTGCCTTTTCCACATTTAGTATAAAGATTCATCACTACAAAATTATTGGCTCTCTAGCCTGTGATTTCTGCATAATGGGGTATTGTGTCAGAAGTCATAAAAGTACAAGTAGACTATTATTTTAACCAATTTTCAAAACTTTATCTTCAGTGTCTGCCAATTGAAAATAATTATACCTAACTCCATGGCTATCCACCTTGAAAATCAAGCCCAATTACTGGATCATGACATTTACTGTTATACATAAAAAGAAGTACCATTCTGATTAATATTTAAAGTATCATCTTTTATTTTCATTGGGATATAATGGTCAAAGCAGTTAGTATCTGCCCATAATTTATGTCACTCTATTTTATTGCTAACTTTGGCTATTTTCTAAATTTGTCATAATAGCCAATTTGCTGTTTTAAAGAAAATTTATTTCTATAGGGTATTATAAATGCACTGGATTCTAGAATCTAGGGTTTGGACTACTATTGCTATAGTCATACTGGGTTTCTAACAGAATTTGTATTTTAGAAAGATATGTTTAGCAATTGTATCGTCAGAGTTGGTCAAAATAAAAACAAAGTCCTGATGTATTTGATATTATCCGAATACCCAAATGGAGACTGAGACTGCATAATAAAGGCCTGGCTTACAGGACAGCATATATATTCCATACAAATTATGGTTAAATGACTTATCCAGGAACATCACTTTTATGGGTATTTGTGCATTTGAAAATGAAAAAAAAAAAACTTTAGTTGTATATAAGTAGTCATGTCCTGAATGTTGAATGTGGATACTCACCTGTCCACAAAGAATCTTCAGGAGTGTTAGTGTATTGGCACATCATGTTTCCCAAAAGCATATGCACGTGTGCATATATGTTAACTATTACCAACTGTTCAATATCACTATAAACCATTTCTCTTCAGTAAAGCTAATTATCTTAGACCTTTCCCACAAGACAAGTTCATATTTCCTTGATCACAACTACACTTCCGTTACCTAGGAACAATCCTGGGACCTCCAGGCCTCCTTGCCCCAGCAGAGCACTGCTTGGTTCTGCAGACCCAGACAGGACTTTCAAGTTCAGTAACTCTACAGAGATACAATGAACTTTTAGAAATGTATTCTCTTCAGGTCTGGCATCTAGACTGACGTGAACTAAACTATCATTTCATTTTATATTAGGAGGAATATAATACTCATTAACTGACCTAGTAGTTATTCAGTCATGGATACTGTTTATAATACAAATAATTCTTTGAAGTGCAGACTATTTTCTAAATAATATGCATTTTTATATCACACGATAAGGCTAAAACACATATGATGTAAAATTCATCTCCATTGTATCACGATGGGTGGAATATTTTGTGATAGTCAATTACCCTAATGCTGTTAAAAGAGGCTCTGTGCAGCAGCAGGAAGGAATCTGACAGCACACTTTCTGACAGTGCGGGGATGAAATTTCTCTTAAAAATTAGTGTGTTGAAACCCTAAATCCTAGGACATTGCCTTGATACTATGCTTTGATTCATGTTGCTTTGAGAAGCCAAATTTGCTGCAAATATATGTGGTTTAAAAGTTTCCAAAGTTATAAAAAGTTATGGTCCATTTTGTCACCAAATTCCTATCCTAGGACTGAGAATATGAATTTGTGTTCTGGTTATGAAATTCTGGAATTAAAAAAAAATCTAAAGATTGTCTATTTTAACAACACAGCAACTTGGGTGTTTTCTTGTGAAAAATATTTAAAACAATGTGTGAAAACTGCTTATTGCCATGAACTTTCTCTTCCCTCAAAGTCCTCCCAGCTGGCATCCTGAGATAGCCTGGCTGACGGGGAAAACACGTTCAGCAGCCGGGGTCTGATGCCTGTCACCAGACAGAGATGATCACTCATATTTAAGCACCACACTCTTTAAGTGTGAATACTGTTTATATGAAAAGCTAGCAGCAATATAAAATAGGGTTAACTTAGTTTAATGATGAGTTAAATTTCTGAGAATGTTTTAGGAAGAATTTATACCATCCAAGAATCCAAAGGAAGATACTAACTGAGGTAAATGTAAAATTTGTATATTGTGTTAATGAATCTAAAGGGAGAGAATTTTTTTCCTAATCATTAAATAAAACTGCATTTCTTAACAGAAATGTCAAACAAAAAAAATTTAACATATATTATCTAATGCATATTATATAATGTACTAATATTTGTGTGTACGTATACTTATGTATTGTATGTGTGTGTGTAAACAAATAGCTGGCAATTATTTCCAATTTTCAGAAATTGTTCAATGGATTTGGCTCTCAACACAACAAACAGAAGAAATACCCTAACGATCACATAACACTTTAAAAAGCACACTGATCATTCACAAAAACCCCCAATTGCAAACTTAGAGGCATCTTTAAATGTCATAGAAATTTGCAGAGGCATGATACAATTGCTGACCATATCCTAATAAAAAGCTTTGTAAAACAGGAGGTTCACTTAGCCAGTTAAATTTTTACATGTGAAAATAAGTCAACTGTCCTCAAGTGTCATTTTGCTGTAAGGTTTTATAGGATAAGGCACTCTCTCAGTGTGCGTGACCTTGCTTCCAACCTCAAAAGGGACTGTGTGCATATTAAAGCAGTTAGCATCAGCATGTCACTGCAACAAAGGAAAAGAACAACTCTGTGAGAGAGTGCAAGGTATTGCTCTTCATTTTCTCACTAAAGACAGAAATGAAGGGAAATAACCAGTATAGCTGTATAAATTAGAATGGATAGCCACACATGTCTGACGTAATGGAAGTATATAGCATTGAGCAGAATCATGATGGCAGATGGGGATGGTAGTAGACTAGCTGTAGCACTGACATTAAAATTCTGCTTTTGAAAGAAATTAAGGAAAACAACCACTGTTTTCTCCTAAGAAGAGTGACTGACCCTTCACTAGTTAAACACTGAACTAAGTGACGGCTTTACAAAATGATTTCAAGTATTCATTATCACAGAGAAAAAGTGACACCAATGTTAGAGTGAAGGATTTGCAAATTCCTTTGATGAAAAAGGCAAGGGTACTAAATCAAAACATATACAAAATGCTTCAACGCATTTCTTTATGTGATATGAATAGAAAGATTATCCATAAAAAGTTAGAAAAATTAAGATAAATTATATATTAGTACACTTTCTCAACCACATTTGATATAAAAATTCCGAGTAGTGTACTGTTATTTCAATCTACACAATAAAAATGCCTAGACGTGGCAGATATCTTCTATCTCAGCTGGCATTTTCTCAGTAGGTTTATTTGTTGCAGTCACTTTTGAAAGTTTCATTTTGATTGCTAGCCTTATTGAATTATCAGTAAACCCAGCTGATTGGGACCCACTGTGGTTCCATTCTCAGTTTCTCAATGGCCGCTTGTAGTTTCTCAAAGGCTTTGTCTAGATTGTCGTTAACAATGATCAAATCAAAATAGTGGTTGTATGCTCTCTGAATCCGGGCACTTTCATCAACTGTTTTCTTCAAGTCAGAGTCCTGTTGAAGAGTTTTAAAAGGAAATGTTTATATTATAATGTATATTTACTTGCTCAAACTCCAATTAAAAGAAAATATACAGAATAAGTAGGTTAGATATTTGTTTGTAATTCTAATATTAATCCTCAAAGTCTAGTCCATACAGAATGTTAAAAAAGACATTACCATCTGTTCATATCTTCATTTTTCCAACTGCATTCATGTACGCATTTATGAGTACTCTATAATCTTCTGTTTTGTTGATATTAGGGTAAGATTCCTAACTAAAAGACTGCTGACCATAATTTTAGGGTGAATCTAAGGGCGCAGTGGTTAAGAGCTCGGCTGCTAACCAAAAGGTCGGCAGTTTGAACCCACCAGCCGCTCTTGGAAACCCTACGGGGCAGTTCTACTCTGTCTTATAGGGCCACTATGAGCCGGAATCGACTCGACAACAACAGGTTTTGTTTTTTTTTCCCTAAGGTAGTAAAAGAATTACTGCAGCTGACCCGTTTCTGGCCCAACTATATCATCCTTTTTGAAAGATTTTTATCTCATTGACTGCAAATCATGGAACCCAACTTGCAGTGAATGTTATGAAGCTCAGAGCCAGATCTGTTGCCTGCCTCTAGCAAAGCCGGGGTATCTCAGAAATGTAGTTTGAAGACTGCCTTTACACATTGCCCATCCCCTACTAAAACCAAACACTTTTATTGATCTTTTTCAAGCTAGTATTGTTTACATTTTATAAAATGTTTCTAGTCATTTTGAAATTATGTAAGGAATAAACTGAGCAAGCAATGGGTTCTGCATGAGCAAGTAAAGCTTTTCATAAAACTGCAAGTGTTTTCAAATTTCGCAATACTGCTACATAGGCTTGAACTTGCATATAAACAACTTGATGGTCTCTTCCATAGTCGGCCCCTGGCCTTCTTCTGACTGATGGTACTGAGCTCTTCCACCGTGTCTTTCCATAGATGTAGGTTATCTCTAAATATCAGTTCCGACTCAAAGGAGCCAGGGCTTTTTTGGACAAAGGGATCATCAAAGACTACTGGGGTTTTATGAAAAAAGCTCAGAAGCCAACTTGAATAGGCTCCTGCTAGCTGAAGATAGGGCAATTTGAACATCAAACAGAACAATAACTGACCTAAGCACACAGAGAGGAAGTATTCCAGGTGACTTTAAACAGCAATTTGACTGTACATACCTAGTGGGATATACCCTCAGGGAAAAAAAAAGCTATTCACAGTAATAATACCATTGGTGATAGTGTTGATATACTTTTCTCAGACTGTTGTGTGTGTACTCTGGAATAAAGCAAATGAGCACTGGTGTGATATTCTAAGATTCCCAGTATTTTTGAGAACTGGGATATTTATTGTAGGAGAAAGGAGTTATACGTATGAGATAGAAGAGGTTAAGTAAAAACTAATCCTGCATTTGAATGGGAAGTATCAGTATGAATTCATGATACATTTTTCTTCAAACATACAAGCAGAAAAGCATATATCCTGGCTCTGCCTACCTAAAATATCTAGCTAGAAACAATTATCAACCCTATGACAATGTGCACCCCATTCCTATTTTTATGGCCTTAAAATGTCATTTACCCTAAAAGGAACCATGGCATCTTAGAGAAACGGCTGATTCCTGGCCTGGGATAGGAAATATTCAAGATGAGCCTGGAATATGTCATATCAGAGAGTAAGGAAGCTATCCAAGATAATTAGTGCACGAACAAAGGTCTCAAGGGCCAATCTATAAGCTCCTATTGGCCAAAGCTGGGATAACTTGAGTATCAATAAGGATAATAACTGTAACAGAGTAAAACACATCAAATAAATTTAAACCCATGGGTTCATGGTGAAACTAAAAACCAAAGAAAACAAACCTCATTATTCATCTGTCACCTTTGGAGGCTCTTAGGGAACAAACCTGTTATTCTAAAAACTTACCCATAAAGGAAAAGTATCAAACATTTATCCTGCCTTTTCTGCATGAACTGTACCTCAGAGTATTGATGAAAAAAAGTTCTTTTTAGAAGAATTATAGTTTATAAATACAGAAGGAATGACAAACTTTGAATATTACTACTTTGTAATCCCTAAAAAAAAAAAAAATTGATCTAAACAAAGATCAATAAAGCTTGCTAAATTAGGTGAAAAGCTACTGGGGAACATTACAGATCAGGCTAACAACATCTGAGCCCACTCACTATGCTTAATATTACAAAAAGAGAGGGTGCTTGACATTATGTGCCTGATGATGGGATAAAACAAGAAGTGTCACATATGAGTTATTCTTACCAAAAAAAAAAAAAAAAATTGAACTTGTATGTGATCAAGTCTCTAGATCTACCTATCTGTGCCCTAGGAAATGCCAGGGACAGAGACTAAGGACATCTGCTTTCTGCCAAGGTGGAAAATAGGAACCAGATTAACCCTCCCACCTTGACCACCAAAACACAGATACAACACATGAAACCAACAGTTTTTAAGACATTGTGCATCACGCAACGAAGGACAGAGATCCCTGAGAGACAGGAAACAAACAGGGTGAGCCCTTTCTGATTGTCCCAGCTTAATGGCTTGGAGGTGTTCTGGCTGTAGCACAGGGAAGGGGATCCCAGGGGAAGCCTGTCAGTCTCTGAAGTTAACGACATAGCTGACAATCTAGGAAGACCAAGGCAGCTAAAGTTTGCAAGACAGAATACCAGAAAGAGACAGCAACACAGAGAAAGAACTCTGGAGATTTGCAGAGGGCCTTCTTCTAGTATTTAGCAATCAGTGCATGTGTGTAGCTACCCAAGGCCACTCGAGAACCACTAGAGGTAGTCACACTGGGCTAGGAATACTACCTTTTCCCACCAGCCAGAACAGAAAACCTCATGATTCACTTGCCATTTGGTAGAATACCCAAATGGGTCTTGCCTCAGTAGTAGGGAATAACTGGCCTGCACTGGTCTCACCTAACAAATTTTAAAAGACCTGAATGGAGCAAACTATTTCCAAGTAACCTAATTGTATTCCAGGGCAAAGTTCACAGTATACTGCAACCAATAAAAAATTACCAGGAATGCAAAGAAGCAGGAAAACATGACTCATGATAAAGAGAAAAACCCTTCAATCAAAACTGACCCACAACTGACACAAATGTTAGAATCAGTAGACAGTGACATTAGAAAAAAATTAAAAGACTGACACTACTGCTTTCGAGGCTTATTATCAAGTCACAATGTGGGAAGAAGTGAAAGCGGCAGGAGGGAGGGATTACAGAGGGGCATGGGGAAACTTTTGGAGGTGATGGCTATGTTCATTATCTTGATTATGATGGTTTCATGGGTGTGTACCTATGTCAAAACTTGTCAAGCTGTATACTTCAATTATGTACAATGTATTCTATGTTGATTACACCTCAGTGAAGTTGGGTAGAAAACAGATTTAGGAGACATCAAGTAAATACAATTTGCTGATGTTGTTCCCATCCTGATTTGAACAAATCAACTTTAAAAAATTATAAATCTTAGGGAAATGAAAATATAGACGGTATATTTGATGACAGTAGAAAAATTACTCTTATATGTTAATGGTGCTATGGTTAAAAAAAATTCCTTATCCTTTAAAGATAAGTACTAAAGTATTTGTGGATGATATGATATCAAAGATTTGCTTCGAAATAATTCAAGGTGAGGGAGGAAATAAGTAGAGGTCTAATGAATCAAGAATGGAAACAGGTAGAGGTCTAATGAATCAAGAATGGCTACGTGTTATTGAAGCTAGGTGATGGGCACATGGGGGTTCATTTTTTTTCCCTCTTTTGTATATATTTAAAAATTTTCCATAATATGAAAAAAGTGAAAGAAAGAGAAAACATGCAACAGAAACTAAGAATCAAAATACCTAACGATGTGGTGAATATGGTTGTTGATAGTCTTAGGGTCCACTTTCCTCATTAGTAGAATTAATACGCATATTTTAATACTGGTTCATTTCATTTTATATAGGACAAGTAAAGTTTGTTTTAACATAAAGTGAACAATGATTTTCAACTTAAAGCAATACCGTTCCAAATCCTAACTGCATCTATTGAGTAAATTTTTATTCTATAATACCTTATATAATCTGTTTATTTTGTAAGTATGATTCGATAGAGATAAATACGCTCAAAAGTAAAAGGAAAGCTAAAAAAAAAGGAACTGCTCACCGTCAAAAGCTTGGTTGTGATTCCAGCATCCACCACAGCCTTGTGCATGGCACGCAGTGTCTCCAGTTCTGGGGCAGCAATAAATACAACATAGGGCATGAACTCTGATGTCCTCAACACCTTCAGTGCCTGTGTAGAGGATGATTATAAACCAATTTATGCGGTATAAGAATTTGAATCATGTTAACCCTTTAATATAAACCAATGCCTATCTGCTCTCTTCCTTTACAGAGACTAAAAATATATTTTAACACCTGTACCTGCCCCCTCTTTGCCCTTTTGATTTCATACAGTTCTTCCCTAAAATAGTTACTCATTACTTGTTCTGAACCTACTCTCACTATACTTTGATCCTCTTGAACAAAGGAAGGTATAAAACTTAATGATCCAAAAATCAGGAGTGATGTCCACCTGTTCTATGTTTACTGTAGCATTCTGTTAATATTGAAAAGTAGAAATAACATAAATGTCCACTAATTTGGGTACTTTAATGGTTAGATAAATTAATATACATCCATATTATGAAATATTATATAGCAATTACAAAGAACCAAACAGATGTATAGTAACTGACATGAAAAAAATCTTTGACAAATATTGCTTATGAAAAAATTTAAAGAATCTGTAGAGAATTTTTCCATTTATGGAAAAAAGAAACAACAGAAATAGAAAACTCATTACATTATATGTGTGTGTATGTTTAGGGCATAGCAAAGGAGCCCTGGTGGTGCAATGGTTAAGCACTCTGCTGCTAACTGAAAGGTGGGCAGTATGAACCCACCAGATGCTCTGTGGAAGAACAGACGTGGTGAGCTGCTCCGGTAAAGATTATAGCCTAGGAAGCACTATGGGGCAGTTCTCCTCTGTCATTTAGGGTCACCATGAGTCAGAATCTACTAGACAACAACAACAACAATGCAGAGTAAAATAACTAGAAAGGAACATACCTATTACTATTTATTTCTGAGTAGGGAAGTGAGGTTGGGTTGAGTGGCAATGGGTGGGCGAGACAGACAAAGAATGAGATGAAATGAATGTACGTACCTCTTTGTGTGTGTGTGTGTGTGTGTGTGTGTGTGTGTGTGTGTGTGTGTGTGTGAGAGAGAGAGAGAGAGAGAGAGAGAAGCAGGTGGGAGGGGACAACTTCAATTTTTCATTCTTTTATCAAAGCCTTGTTTAACTCTTAAATTTAACATTTCCTAATATATCCATTCATGTATTACTTGAGCAAGTAAATAAATAATAAAATTCTACCACAGACCTAATCACATGGTTTCTGTTGCAACCCAAGCTTCTGTAGACTGATTGGTTACCGATTTATGTAACTAGCTATGGCTGTATAATCAGGTTCTTTATCATGTAATAATATAGGGAAAGACTCACCAGTAATTTTCCCAATCCTGGAAAAAGCAAACAAACAAACTACACAGGAAATAAAAGTAGGGGGGAAGAAAAAAAAAAGCTTTGCAATCACTTCAACTTACTTGTGGATTGACATCCAAAATGCAAGTCCTTCCAGTCTGGACAACTTCAAGAATAGAATCAATCTTGGTTCCATAGAGATTTCCTTCATATTCTCCATGTTCCAAATATTTTCCAGCTTTAATATCTGCTTCCATCTCAGATCGTGACACAAATTTATATGCCTGGCCATCTTTTTCATCTTCCCTTGGTTTCCGTGAAGTAACTACATAAAATAACGTTGAAAATTTGTACAATGAGATTCTAGGGTATAAAATAACATAGGGTAGCTTAAGATTTTTCCATTTAGAGCAGGGGCTGGCAAATTAAAAGCCATGGCCAAATCTGGCCTGCTTCCTATTTGTAAATAAAGTTTTACTGGAACACAACTACACTCATTCGTTTCGTCTATGGTTGCTTTTAAACTACAAAGGCAGAGTAGTTGTGGCAGAGACTGTGCAGCCAACAAAGCCTAGAATATTTACTATGTGGCCCTTGAATAGAAAAAGTTTGCTCACTCCTGATTTAGACGAATGTTTTAAGAGGTACTTGCCAACAGAAAATTTGTAAGAAAAAATGTGCTTTTTAAAGTCAGTTTGAACCTCAAAATACATTTATCTAGAAGCAAGGCCCTAAAATTAAGTTCGTAATTATATTGTATCTTAATAAGTATAGGGAATATTGCAAATGAATATGTTTTCCAACTACCCAGGACTCCCCTTCTTATGGAATCTATTCTATCCTTTTTTCCCCACTTTAACATTTCCTTATGGAGTGCCCAACAAGTGAAGAAAGTTCTCCTATTCTTAATTGCTATTATCAATTTTCTGAAATGTAGTTTTACCCACAAATAATCAATTCTTCATCTGTCCTCAATACCAAGCCTTTCTTTTAGCTTTCTGTTTATTGATATTCCCAAACATTAATTGGTCTCTTTTGCACTTCAGTTGGGGAGCTAGCCACCTCATTGTTATTATGGTCTACCAATTTCCTCTATTCTGACTTGTAATATATTCTGAAAGAATGACAGTGAATACACCAAGTCAAAATTAGAGGTGGGGGATCCTTTTGTCTCATATTTCATAGTTTTATAATACTTTCAAGAGCAATACAACCCCTTTGCAACTGAGTCCATGCTAGGAATGGGACTACTGCCATCTTTCAAACCGTTGCAAAGGTGCAGAGCTAGGTACTCTCCGCCAACTTGTTAACATTAGCTTGGAAGAAAAAGTAATTTTTTTGGTGTATTATTTTCAAGTTTAGCTTTAATCTGAATTTGGCTGGATCAGAGATTAAAAAAAAAAAAAAGTATCCTATTTCTACTAACCAAGTACCTATACATGCAGAATTAAAAAAACAAAACAAAACCCACTGCCATCGAGTCGATTCTGACTCATAGCGGCCCTATACAGGACAGAGTAGAACTGTTCAATAGGGTTTCCAAGGCTGTAATATTTATGGAAGCAGACTGCCAAATCTTTCTCTCGTGGAACAGCTGGTGGGTTCCAACTGCCAACCTTTTGGTTAGCAGTGAGCACTTAAACCATTGCACCACCACGGCTCCTTACATGAAGAATGCAGATGCAGACTATAAGTATTCAAATCATTAAACACATGAAAATAAAATCAGTAAGTAACCAAAATAAAAAATTGACAATATGACTATCTGTAATAAGTATAACACATCAAGAAAACTTTTACAAGGACAAAATCAACTTGAAACTCAAGTTCAATAATATGGGCTGTAATTCATAAATGAGATCATTATATGTAACAGGACTCCCCCGTGCCCCTGTTATTTTCTGATTCGACCTTGAAGGTGGTTTTCTAGGACACCGTGGAGAGTATTTATAAAGAATCTTCAAGATGCTACGACGGCTTTTCATATCCAAAACTATGTGATTGCTAAGATTTCTGGAATTATTCACCAAAAACATGGTAAGATAAAATTTCCAAGGCAATTCTGAAATCTCAAGATAAATATATACTAGGACCTGGTCAATCTCTGTGAACATAATTTTAGAAGAATTTGTTTTTTGGTGAAGCCCTACAGTGAAACCATGTATGAGAATGTGCTGCTTGAAATAAATAGGTATATGTACACGTACTACTCCCATTTCTACTTCCCCCCATGTTTATGGAATTTTAATTTTTGGCTAAATGGTCTTTAGTTTACAAGTCAATTTTAACCATGATCCCATTCTCTACAAAACACTTGAAAAAAGAAAAAATCTATATTGCCACAGATTTGAGCCTTTTCTGTTCCCGAACAGAGAAATGAGAACAAGGTGGCTTGACTACAACTGATTCCTTAGGCTTATACGTTAAGCAACTAAACAATTGATTTCTTAGAATGTAATTTTTGTGACTGATAGACAGAATTCTAAGTTTTAACAGCTCTTCAGATAATGAGGAAACCATCAACAAAGTAACATGTTATTTGTTAACTAAGCTCAAGAGTCAATGTTAAAGAGAAAACATGACTCATAAGGTAGTTTACACCCCTGGAATAACAATGCTTTTCTCTTTTATTTTAGAATCATTTGATAATATATAAAAGCATTTAAATCAATTTTTAAAACTTCAGCATTTATTTCCTTCCCTTATTTACTTCCGCACCCATGTTGTTGTGTGCCGTCAAGTCAATTCTGACTCAAAGCGACCCAGTATGACAAAGTAGAACTGCCCCATAGGGTTTCCCAGGCTGTAATCTTTATGGGAGCAGATTGCCACGTCTTTTTTCCTGTGGTGCCACTGTTTGGGTTCAAACTGCCGACCTTTTGGTTAGCAGCTGACTGCTTAAACCATTGCTCCACCTGGGCTCCTTAACCACCTAATAACATGCAGCACAATATTTCGTTATCAGAAATAAGACAAATTTGTCACACCAAAATCAGTGTTTCTTTTCTCTGTTGATTCTGAGGCTTAAAAAAATGTTAGATGGCTATGTAAGTGTGAACGATTTGAAGAAAAGTAAAACATACCTACACTACATGAGGTGAGAGTTGACGTGACGTATGAGTATACCTAAATCTTTCTATATAAAAACTCAGATACGAATCTTTACTCAAAATAAAAGGTCTGTTCAAAGGTAAAATACTACACCTCACCTAATGTTAATTTTGCACTAGGAAATCAAGAAACTGAAGCATTTATAAATACTTTTTGATCTAATAATTCTATGTATGAGATTTCTGTATACATATTTTATCATAGCTTTATAACACAAATAATCCACCCCCCATAAAAAAGTATACATAAATGGGCAACAGCAGCAATGGTTAAACAAAATTTAGCGCGCACACACACAGACACACACAAAACCCACCGCCATCAAGTTGCTGACTTATGAGTTAAAGCTCATGATACAACGTTCATTCACTCGTTCATTAAATATTTACTGTGTATATACTATGTGCCAGACTATGTTTTAGAAGCTGAGTCTACTGAAGTACAAAAGACAGACAAGCTAGACAAGATCTCTGTTCTCAGGGAACATACTCTTATACATGGAGATAGATGAATAATCAAATAAGAATTTAAAGTAAGTGCTAAAACATAGCCACAAGGTGTTGGGGAGCCTACTTTAGACTGAAAGGTCAGTGAAGGCCTCTGAGAAGATGACACCTTCAATGAAAAGTATAATTCAAGCATGTGAAAATCTAGGGGTGTAGACTGTTCCAGGCAGAGGGAACAACAAGAACAGAAAGGCTTGAATAATGATCTCAGTGAGTTTCAGGAGGAGAAAAAACTGTGTGTTAAGTCAGGAAAAACTATACACATTTTATATGGATAGCGTGATTGTAATTTTGTAACTATAAATTCTTTAATTAGAAATTATTTTGTCTTAGTTATACCTATAAACATAATGTTGAATGGGACTTTTCCTACAATCTCAGAATTTCGCTCAAGTCCTAAGTAGGTACTAGAATGCCAGGGATCTACAGCCTCCTCTTTCAGAGTTTACTAAAAAGTGGCCGATCCAGTCCTCGGACCATTACCTACCTATATCTTATGTGTCTATTCAAGAAGGAGTCAATGAGGCAATGAATTATAGGTGCAGGGGGGAAAGCTTTCTTTTCTTCTCCTGACTTCATGGTAAGATAATGCTCTCTTAAGAATTCTGAAGGCCCATGATGACATGCTGTAGTAGTGGGGAGACTTGTACCTTCATTGTTTGGCAAAGCAAGAACAAGATTCCTGGGAGATGTATGCATATATGCATGTGTGTTTATCCAACAGACAGTCAGGCCTACACTGTTTTGAAGGTATCCTGCACAGAAAGACAGTATGAGGGCTAAAGGAAACAAGCAAAAAGAGATTCTAAAATACAGGATTAAAGCTTGGGGGAGGTGGTAGGGGTCAAGGAGCTAATTGGAAATCATACTGCCCTTGCCAAACATAAATAATATTTGGGCATTTGTGACATAAAGGACTCCAATAGGCAAGATTTTACATGATAGCACTTTGTACCTTTCCCTTTAATCCCCATTTCTTCCTGACCTGACCCTGAGAAACCAGAAGTAGCAGAGGGAGGATGTGGTGGGGGAGTAATAAAACCACACGTCTGTCACTCTGTCGTACTATGGTGGCTTGCATGTTGTTGTGATGCTGGAAGCTATGCCACTGGTATTTCAAATACCAGCAAGGTCACCCATGGTGGACAGGTTTCAGCAGGCCTTCTACACTAAGACACACTAGGAAGAAGGACCTGGTGGTCTACTTCTGAAAAAATTGGCCAGTGAAAACCTTATGAATAGCAGCGGAACACTGTCTGGTATAGTGCTGGAAGATAAGCCCCTCAGATTGGAAGGCACTCAAAATATGACCAGGGAAGAGCTGCCTCCTCAAAGTAAAGTCAACCTTAATGACATGGATGGAGTCAAGCTTTCAGGACCTTCATTTGCTGAGATGGCATGACTCAAAATGAGAAGAAACGGCTGCAAACATCAATTAATAACTGAAACTTGGAATGTGTGAAGTAGGAAATCTAGGAAAATTGGAAGTCATCAAAAAAAATGAAATGGAATGCATAAAGATCGATATCCTAGGCATTAGTGAGCTGAAATGGACCGGTATTGGCCATTTTGAATCGGACAATCATATGGTTTACTACACTGGGAATGACAAATTGAAGAGGAATGGCATCACATTCATCATCAAAAACAATGTGGGTAAATCTGCTGCAAAAGACCTGTTTACAGTGTTGAAAAGCAAGGCTGGTAC